CAACATTGAAATGCAGTTACGTTTCTTCGTGCGGAAAACGACGAACTGCCCAACGCAAAAGGGCCCGATAAGAATCCTGCGTACCCATTACCTGGTAAAGGGAGCTCAATTTACTAGCTCCTTTCCCAGGTGTTATTTCGAATCGACCAAAACTCCATCCCATTATAGCAAAGGCGAGGCGCGAATAATTGACTATCGGTATTACCCCATTTGAAGCTGTGGTAAAGAATCGATTATTGAGGTGTTTGTTGTGAACACCCTGTTCATCGATCCTTTTACGTGGGTTTGAACGGCAGGTCAATCGATATATCGCAAAGCACGCCACGCTACTGCATTATAGGACTCTGGGGAGCCTCTGGAGCCATTTCGGAGTGAAATATTACGTATTTTGGGCGCAGGTGGCTATTGGACGTGCCACGTGGCCAATAAAATATTCTCTTCAGACTAATACGGCCTGCAATCTATGAAGAATGAAATTGAATGTCGCTTTTTTCAGCATGGTAATTTCCATGGTTTTGTAGATTGGGCAGAGGAGAAACAGAAGCTTACTAGAAAGTCGTGCATATGGACATGATTTCTAGAAATCGAATTTAATACCCACTGCAGAATGGGACAAAAACTCGTGTAACGTGTTATGAAGTATTTATGTCGCAGGCAAATAGCAAAATCAGGCATTTTGTCAAATGCCTAGGCAAATAGTCAAATATTCTAACTTAGATTAAAATTCTGATTCTTTTCCTAATTTCAGAAAAAATAATTCATTGCTCCTGCAAGAAAAAATTATCAGTAAAAATTTGCACACATAATAGTATTTTGAACAGCTTTTAGCTCCTGAAGAGACACTGATCTTGCCATTTTCAGCAGGTCGTAAAATACAGAATTTTTGGAATTTCAACATTTGAAAATATGAGAGGCAATTGAAGAGGAAGAGACCAAAAGAGTTCGTAGGTTTGATGAGTTATTTTTCCAAAAATAGTGAAAAATCGTGAGCTCTTCGCCGTAAATTCATAAAATTTTGTGGACCGTCAAAATTTGACTATCAGCCTAGGCATTTGACAAAATGCCTGATTTCACTATTTGCCTGCGACATATAGAAACGTCATTTGATTGTTAGGTCTCTTCTTATACTTATATTCCCCAAACTGTATTTGAAGTCATTTTTATGAGCCCTCGGACCCTGCCAAGTTTTCTTCGATAAAATACAAATTTTCTCGGAAAACAGGGGAGGAAAATAGGCTCTGGGATGAAACTCACTCAACTGTAAGATCTCTGGCGGTCTATCCTCCGCCCGAATAATTTGTTTGTAACCATGAGCTTCCATCTACCTTAATTATATAACCCAATGAACTGCTCTAAAGCAGGTAAAAAAACACATTGTTTTTGGAGGCTCTGGAGTTATTGGACGCATTTCTGCCAAACGGAACCGGAGGCAAGTGGGAAATAAGGGGTGTGCTCGTTATAGTTGAGGACTGTAAGAATGAATGGGAGTTATAAATCGCCAGTGACGTCAGCGGCAACGAAGCCGTCTCCATTGTCGTTCTTGCTTGGCTTTAACTCATGAGCCCTGTCCACAACGCTCTTTTTCCATTCCCGCGGCTCAGGAGTGCCGCATTTAGTTGGCACATAGTTCCATTCGACAGAATGTAAAATCCCGCTTTTCCATTTCTCCAAAGGGAATCACGCCCACTCTAACATTGTTTCTCATGCAGCTACCTAGAGAGAGCACACCACATCTTTTCTACTCGTCAATAATTCCGTTTGGCAGAGATACGTCCAATTCTCCGGATAAGTCCGTCGTATTTTGCGTGAAATTCGAGTAGGGGAAAAAAACAAATTTTGCAGCGCTCCTACTCAAAATCTATCCAGAATAGAGAATTTGAAGGTGTCTGAAATTCGATGAATTTCGTGTTTAAGTGGAAACTACTGAGTGAACTGATCACGAGGAAACCTTTGGTTCATGCATTGAACAATTATAAGAACAAGATATGACAAAATGATCTAATCTGCTAAAATACGAGTGTTTAAACGGGAAATGCCGCCAGATAACGTCACTATGCCAATCCTCCATTCCTCTAACATCCGAAGGATTGCCTCATAGGAGCACGGAGGGTAACGGGCGTTTGAGCTTAAGCGATTCACTCGGAGTAAAGAGAGGGCATCGAGCGAGGGAGTGTGAAAGAAATGATACTGCTCATAGTAAATGAGGCGTGAAAAGTCATCAGTCGGTATCGATAGCCGAACTTGGCGCGGCAAGAGGCAACGGAGCTGGTAATCGCTGTACCCGCCGCCGCCGTGGCCTGACAGCTCGTCAAACTGTACAGAGTGATCCAAGAATCCTGCACCCGCCCTATAAACTGGACGTATTCATACCAAAAGGAACTATGTCTCACGCAAATCCTATGCATATAGTTCTTTTTAGCATAATACGTCAGATCGTAGCACAGTGGATCGAGTCAATTAGAGTGGTCGGACATGAAATTTTTTACTAAAACGGCATATTTTGATGTTTATTTTGTCACATTTTAAATTTGTAGGGGTGCTTTACGAAGAAAATTTCACGTGGAAACCAATGGAGCCACTTGGAGAACCTCAAATGTTTGCATAAACGGAGCTATAAGCGTTTAAAATTTCCAAATTTTGTCCGACCTCTCCTATTGACTCGATCCACTGTGCGTAGGGTTCTTGCCCTCTTCCAGGGGGCCTTCCTACAATTTTCTAGGTGATACAAAAGTCGTCTCCTTTGACCTAGAAGTACTTACAAGATTAAACCCTCGTAAAAATTGACGATAGGAGCTGCGTTTCAAAATATCATAGGAGTTCTTAAGACCGACTGAAGAAGGCTATTGAAAACCATATAGCTGGCTGTAGAAAGCGGAGCAAATCATATAGCCGGGCAATACGAAGCTATAAAAAAGTATATATAGGGCTATAGCTCCTATCGCCGGGCTTTACACTTTATCGCCATTGATTATAAAAGGCTGTAAGAAATTGAGTAGAAATTTGTGTGCTTTGGAAATCATTAAGTTTGATACGGAACTACCTTCATATTTACAAAACACACATCTTATATTTTCCTTTAAAACATATTTTTTTTCATCAATTAAAATGAGAATAATCCATACAGAGTGTGCAAACATTTCAAAATCATGAGTTGAAAAACGCTGACTCCGCGAGATTAAATATTAGAGCCTAACACAAAGCGGAGCAGCGACGCACTGGCGCCTACAAACCTAACAGGGATACTTCACGCATTGCGCAATGCCTGAAGTATCCCTGTTAGGTTTGTAGGCGCTTATGCGCTGGTCGCCCTTGCCCGCCGCCGCGCCACGGCGCTTCAAGCAACTATTTTGCAACAGAGGTGTTGCACAGTATCATACGAGATTGAAGGCGCTCCAACATTTTAAGAATGACAGGCATCCTTCACAAATACGGAGCTTTCCTCGCAAAATAAATCAAGATACTGCGGCGCAAAAATAGAGCGGTAGTCCAAAAACTAACTAAGTCCTAGTATCCGTATTTAGTAACGTTTAGCATAAACTTTATCGTCTGGCTGTTGCTTAATCGCCATCGGCTATAACAGGCTATAAGAAATCTTACAGCCGGCTACAGAAGCTATTGGAAATTTTACAGCCGGCTTTAGGTCTATAGTATTTTGGAACACACATTATGCTGCCGATTTTTAGCAGGGAAAGTATCTGACTCAATTTGCTCAAAAATTACAGAAATGATGCCTGGTGCGGATGGCGTGGGACTTTTAGATCACCCTGTATACTCTTGCCGCGTCCATGACCTCAAAAGTCAGATTACTTCATTATACCCCCGTAACAATACGATACCTCATGCTAAACACCACAAAACTCCATGCTTTGCGCGGGAAAGGCATCGCAGGTGCCCTATAATTATACACGTGCTGCAAACATACGTACAACCTGAATACCTTAACTGCCGTGTCAAGGAAAAACGTCGTATGGAAATTCTAATGTTGCCAGTTCTAATAAATTGATTATTCCTCAGGACAATTTTTGAGTGTTTGCCCGGACATTCTCAGCTAATTTGAAGTAAATTGCTTTAAAAAATAATGACGGAAGAATTGGAATTAAAATATTCTCAAGTTATTCCGTCGAAAAAAAAACCAGAATTATTAAGGATTAATAAGGTTTGAAATTTGCTTTGTAATATTAAACCTTACACCGAAAAAAAAGTGTATCTCGCTTCGCGCTCACATTTTTCCTATTGTTAGAAAGTAAAATAGGTCCCAATTTGAAATGCATGCACCAGGTTTCACTCCGTCTCAGTTTTACAGCCCTGAGATAGCCAAAGGGATGGCAAAAAATCAAAGCACTATGAAAGCACCTCGGTATAAAATAATATCTCTCGGCCGAAGTGTGTCGTGATTTCATCTCACTCTCATTAAATTTAAAGCTCCCTCCTTTGTCTCGAAGAACCTGGATGTTTGTGAGAGACCGCTCTCGAAATACTTCGCTCCATGAAGACAAACGAATAAAGTAAATAACAATTTGCTGGACATGTGACAAAATAAATGAGTCCGTTGAAAAACTTTCATTAGACGTTCCGGGTCACTATCGTTACGTTAGGTCGGCGGAATACGGATAGGAGTGTTGCTAATAGAATTCTGTCGCGAGAACGGCACCGGAACGGTATTGCTGCCGCGATAGCGAAAAGAACGGTAAGTGCATGCTGAGATGAACCTCGAGACACATAGAAGCATGCGCTAACCACGGCTCATGCAGGAATGCTCTTACTGCTCTCTCGCGATCACGGCAAAATGGAGACGAAAAGCAAATTAATTACTGTCGTCTTTTGAGTAATTACCACCGCAAGGAATCTAAACTCAGACTCGCTGCGGAGAAAAATTAGAGAAAATCGACGGTTTTTGGAATCTGTCTTTCTTGACAATTTTAAGCGCTAGGTCTAATTTCCCTTCTCCCCTTTCGATACTTCTTGAAAAATAATCATTGTTTTTTCTCTCGTTTTTTCAGGAAAGATTGCTTCTGTCCGTGTTACCGGAGCATGTAGCTGTAAAAATGAGGCAAGACTTAGGGTCTGGACTCGACAGTCAATTCAAAAAAATTTACATGAGCCGCCATGAAAACGTAAGGTGAGTTGAACATAATTGAATTTTTCCGCCCAAACTTTATTTAATGAATATGTGCGATTTCTAAGGTCTGGTTCTACAATATAAAGATGCAACAATTATTCTTTATTTAAATAAGCATGCATCTCCTCCAAGAAATGGTTTAAGGAGAAAATGTTGATAAATGAGTCTGGATAAGCGTATTTTTGTTGAGTTTTTATAGGAAAGAATCAATTTAAATTTCCAAATATAGATAAAAGCACACTATGGCAGCCTGAGAACATGGAATAAAAATAGATAGTAAAAGGCGGGGACAAGGCTAAAAAACACAGAATGATTACAAATCGCGGGACGTTTCGACTGGTCTCCCGGTCCAAAAAATTCCCAAAGAAATTAGGATTTAAGACATTTACGAATTCGATTAAGATAAATTAAGTTTAATACAGCCATGGTTAATTGCTAAGCTTCAAAATTGTATAATGACAAATTGTATCTTTACTAAAAATAAGACAACATCGTCATCCGTCCTCGTACAACGGGCTGTATTACTATCGAGCAGGACAGCTGTGATGATCATTGAAGATTTTTTCATGCCAAGGATGATCATATGAACATTGATGCTGTGTTATTTTTACCAGGGAAGTGCTATAAAGCTTCATTAATTCTCCAAGTTAAAGGACTCATTATGTATGATATGTACCTAGTGGTTTTTATTAGTCTAATTTGTTTGTTCAAATACCGTAGAGTAATAGAGGTCACTAGAATTCTGCTAGGTGAGGAATAACACCGTATGAGCCTTCAGGTGTTGCCAATTTTCCTTTGATTATATACAAATTTCTCGGTAATCTTATGAATAACTTTTCTCTCACTTTCATACTAAATTTTGTTCGCAATTTCACCTAAATTTCCTGAAAATTTCAAGAAAAAGTATTAATACGTTTCCTCAAAAGGAACATTTTATCGAAGGAAATTTGGCAACCCTCGAATGTTCACACGGCGTGTTTCCCTAACATGGCAAAATTGTAGTTCTCTCTCTAGCAAGCGCCATACCAAAAATCGATGTTCGTGATGGTTTGTAGATAAAAAGGCTTCGTAACTGGATCAAAAGCGTCGAAATTAAATTTAAGTGATTTTCAGGCGTTTTACATTCTCGGGAACATGCTTCAAACAAAACCAAAAACATGCCTGCATACTCGCGTAAATTGTTTCACTATGAACATTATGAAATTGCTGTAAAGGTTTTATGTTGGCGTGTGCATAGTGTATGGGAGTGGTGACAAAACTGAGCTTCATTAGTAATTTCTAGCATGGCCCTGCTTGTTGGGTTAATGTAATGGGATTAGACCTATGTTTGCTCCCGCCTGGTATGGCTTAATTGGCATTGCTCAAAGCTTCCTCAGAACATCCCTTTCATGCAAGATATACAAGAGATTTAGATTAGCGAGTATAAAGACCGACACAGCCTAGCGATCATGTTGCCAAACCTATTATCCAAGCTATATGAACCGCGTTTACCAGAAAGAAACCATCGGCTATTGCCGAATGTAATTATGCGCAATTAAATATTTTACATGGAAACAGTACTACAGATTTTTATGCAAATTTCGGTGAATTTTCTGCTTGGTACAAAGTAAATTCCTCAATATTGTCAAAGAAATCCGCACAGACGTTCTTTTGTAAAATATTAATTTGACCGATTATTAGCAATAGCTGATGTGGCTTAGGTCTGTGAAACGTGGTGTCCATGTATCCGAGCAAATTAGAAATGAATTTCAATCGAAACATCCCGAAAGAAATAAAATTGAACGTACAACAATATTTTGGGTTCAAAATGTAACTCTGACAGGGCGTATTTTTCCGATGAAGCGATTGAGGTTAGAGTTTAATGGCACTGAAAATCACCGTTATAAAATTAACTTTGCACTTTTGTGCGAAACATTTGGGGGTTTATGTGCTTTTATCTGGTTAAATAGCCTCGTTTGGCGTAACATATGGGAGACGTTCCTAGACATCTTGCATATTAAAGAAAAGTTCTAGAAAAAATTAATCGCGACAAGATCAAGGATAATCGCTTAGATGTTGATGATCCTGGCGATTTTATCTCCAAAAAATCGTAGAAAAAATTACTACTTAATTTCAAAATATCGCGTTTTTCCGTTGAAAACTGCTACTTGGATGCTGCGATGATGACTCCCTGACTCATTATTTTCTTCAATATTTTTTACAGCATCCTGTACGCTGACATCGTTGGATTCACGGCAATTTCATCCACTTACTCAGCTTCGGAACTCGTTAAAATATTGAACGAACTCTTTGCCACCTTCGACCGGCTGTCTGAGGTAAGAATGCCGAAATTTCGTTACTAATCGTAAGTCGGTAATCCAGTTAATCAATCATGGATGATGCTGCTCCGGAAAATTAAGCAGAGGAGGGGGCGGGGTGGCCGATTAGTCTGGTGTAGGATCCGAGTTCGTAAATTGAATTTCCGTGTAATTTGGACTTTGGAGGATGCGGGTTCTTCGCCCGAATTCTTGGACCTTCATTTTGTAGTTAGTTTAAGAAACTTTTGAGTCTTGAGACGGTGAAATGGGTATAATACAATTTCTTCAATGTCTGCTTTCTGAAGGATTTTCAAAACTGAAGAGATACTCGGTGCATGAATCGCCATTCCCTGGCCGAAAGAACGTAACTCCATTCCAAGGTTACAGAATGGGCCTGTTGCATGCAAGAGATACAGCCGCGCGAATAGACTTTTTAGAGGTTAAATGACACGAAAATTACGATGGTCACATTAAAAAAGTCTGAAATACACTCCTTACTGCGCAATTTGCGTTGTTAGAAACGCGCTTTTTCAAATTTCCCGCGTCTGGGAGCAGTTTTCTTATCACCGGAAACGAGCAAACGGCGGGCTCGGTGATTTCCGGAAGATGTCGAGTCGTTGTTGTTATTTTTTCATTCAGTTTGTTTACAAACCCAACGTGATCTCCTATAGTGGTCCATATACGCTTTATGCGGTAACCAAATCGATCAACTTTTAAGTATCCAACGCAATCCTTCTACATTTCATTTCACGATGTCACGAGCTCCGATTTTTAGGTTATAGTGTTAGTTTTAGTTGACCGGAAATAGCCGCGAGTTGCCGTTAATTGTTTCCGTTAGAAAACTGCCCCCAGACGCGGGAAATTTGAAAAAGCGCGTTCCTAACAACACAAATTGCGCAGTAAGGAGTGTATTTCAGACTTTTTCAATGTGACCATCGTAATTTTTGTGTCATTTAACCTCTAAAAAGTCTATTCGCACGGCTGTGTCTCTTGCATGCAACAGGCCCATTGACTCAAACAATTTAATTATTTTCAAAGTTGTACCTGTGCAATTTGTGTCCAAAATTTTCTGATTATTGCTCGAGATCAGAGGAAGAATCGGTGAAATTTTCGGTTAAAAATGCTAAAGATTCTTCCGGTGAAAATGCAATTTTCGAGGAGAAATTCGGCAACATCGAAATGTAGTCACGTTCTCTCGGGGGGAGGGGGGGGGACGAAATCTGAAACGTGACGCTTCTTCGACTTAGAAATGGAGCATATTTTGAAGACGATGAAAGGAGAGAAAAAGTACGTATTAATTGAAGGGTATAGAATCGAAATGAGTCGATCGAAAAACGAAAACGTGAACTGATCGAATCGTCGATCGATTCACGTCGATCAGTCCACGTGTTTATTTTTCGATCGATTCATGTCGATCGAATCTGCACCTGTTTTTAATGATGTGTCGATCAATCCTCGTCGATCCATTTAAGTTTTTATTTTTCGATCGATTCATGTAGATCGAATCCATACCCTCCTTATTTTATGTCCCATACTGCTGAGTGATAAAAACACTGACGTATTCACTCTGAAAAAAAAAGATTGGTAGAATTTACCATTCCTTCATGCTGTATTTCACACAGCGTGAATTCAAGGTCGATTCTGCCAGAGGAATGGTTACCTGCACCAGTATATAGTAACGTGTACCTTTCTTCCGGCAGAATTGAGTCTTGAGTTGACGCTGTGTGAAATACAGCGCGAAGGAATGGTAAATTCTACCAATCTTTTTTTCGGTGCAGTTCCGAAACCATCCGTGGAGCAACTCTGCAGAGAATCAAACAATTTGCTCTCGAGTAGCTCAAAAATTCCTGTAACATGGCTTCACTCAATGTCACTCGAGCTGTCGAGGACTGTCACGATTGACTCGAGTCTTTCGGGGAAATCGATCAAAACACGCTCTGATAATTCTCCCCGGAGTTCGAACGCAATATCCCGTTTTTGATTTCTTACACAGACCGAGTCTCGTTCCGTCGCCTCAACAGTTGCGATAGAGCCCTTTCAATTTTCCATCTTTTGGTCACAAAGGAAAACAACAAACACAGTACCCTCTGGCCTTTTCAAAGAACAAAAATAATAATAAAAAAAATAATCTGGGATTTTCAGCGAATGCATTGTAAAGAGAGAAGAGCGTGAATAAACGACGAAAGAGAGTAAGAAGAGGAACGGGGAAAGAAGTCTTCGGAGTAGTGAGAGAAATCAGTTCCCACAGCTCGAGGATGAACACATTCCGCCCCCTCTTGACATGAGAGTGTAAGAACTTTTTTTAATGAGCCCTGACGCCCATTTAGCTCAATGCTTCTCCGGGATCATCTCGATGTGTAGTTAAGCCGTTTTGCCAGCGGAGCGACGAAACGCGCATAGTGACGAAAGCGTGAGCCCGGAAAATGGAAAGGAAATTGGAACAAACATCGGAACAGGCGGAAACGGGACGCTCAACCTAAATGCCGCGGCAACTGTCCGCTTCTGCTCGGCTTTCATGGCAAGAGCAAAAATATGAACTTGCGAAATATCAGAGGGAAATGACGAGGAGAAGAAATTGGAATAATTGAAATTCGTTCGCCTCACCCATCATTCAGTATCCCGAGAGTAGCGATGAGGCGTAAAGGATCGATTATCGATATTACCTCATTTGAAATTATTGTAAAAAATCGATTATTAAGGTGTTCGTTGCGAACACCCTATTTTTCGAGCTTTTCCCATAGGTTTTAATGGTAGATCAATCGATGCACCGCAAAGCACGCGCCACGCCACAGATCCCAAGCCTGAAACCTAATTACGGCACTGTTGAAGTAGTTTTTTGCCTCAGCTCAATTAGCTGATGAATTACACTTATTGCAAAAAAAGAAGTACTAGCTTTGGCTCGTCCATAAAATCACTTATCTGCATAGGAAAACTATTGGAACACGATGTCGTTTCTAAAATGAGCTGGAAATAGTGTTTTTCATTGCAAAATACAGCCAACTTCAAAATGAAATATTAATAATTGAACATGTTCATACTTATCCATATAATTTGAAAATGTTCGTCTTTTTATAATTTCTGATTCACTTGCTCAAAATCTGTCAAACGTTAAACACTGCCATGTAGACGTATTTAAGCTAAAATGAACCAGAGACGTGTGTGTGCGTGTGTGTGTGTGGGGGGGGGGNGGGGGGGGGGGGGAGCTCGTTTGAGCTGCATAAGAAACAATGTAAAATTAGGCTCGATTCCTTTTTGCAAATGAAAAAGTGGGAATTTATATCAAATGAAAAGGAGCCAAGCGCCAAAATAATTTAAAGTCATGAGCCCTGGGCATGCGGCAAGAAGGTTTTTAACAGGGATCATGAATGAAAGCGCACATTCGTCGAGCTCGTCGTCGAGCCGCTGACGTCACTGGCGCTCTATTATTTCGATTCATTCTTACGGCACTCAAATAACGAGCATACTCCTTCTTTTTCATCCATCTCTGGTTCTTTTTAGCATAAATACGTCTATTTTACATTTAATTACGGGCCTCCAAAGTAAAGCTGGCATTTTAGAAAATTTGTTACGGACTCGATATTTGCGGACTTTCACTGTAGATTCCCAATGCTTTTGAAAATTGAGAGACGAGCGAGCTGATTGTTGAAATTGATAGACGAAACGATAGACAAAGAAGACATGAGGAGTGTGGAGTGATCCTATTGGTTGAAATGGATGGTGCTCATGTAGACTGAGGGAGAAAACGATGGACTAACTATAGGTTCTTTCGTGGGTTGCCGTTAGTTGGATTACATTTTGCAATAAGGAACCACTATCTCTGGCTCTCCCACAAAAGCACATATTTGCATAGGAAAACCAATGGCATGTATGTTGTTTCTAAAATTGGCCAGAAATGGTGGTTCCTTATTGCAAAATGCAATCCAGTTAGTCTTGCCTACCATCCTTTGTCCATCGGAACCACCTGTTTCAACCAATAATATCCCTCGATACCCTATTTCCTTCTTTGTCTATCCCCTTGTCTACCAATTTCAACAATCAGCCTCAGGAGCTAACTCAGCATGCCCGTATCCTCAATAATCTAAGGACAATAAAGACTGTATACAATAGGCAACGAATGATAAAAATTGAGGAAAAAATCCAAAGGAAAGCAAAAGATGAGAGTTGATTTCCTCGGGGAGCAAAACCGCGCGACCGTTTCATTTCAAGACCGGCCAAATTTTACGGCGAATCCCGACAACTGTGCTAGATTTGAGATCATAAAACTATGTCAAGAGCAAGTCATTTTTCTTGCCGCTCGTCTTTGAAGCTTTTATCTCCCGTTGGCACTTACAAAGCGGAAACCACCCTTGCCCCGACCGCCCTCCATCCCTTTTCAGACTCCTGTTTCCCGCAAGCCCGCCACGCCGCACAGTGGATCGTGTCAAATAGAGAGGTCGGACAAAATTTGGAAACTTCAAAAGCTTATAACTTCGTTTTTTCAAAATTTTGAGGTTCTCAAGGTGGGCCCATTGGTTTTCTCGTACAATTATCTTCGAAAATCACCCCTTGAAATTTACAATATGACGAAATAAACATCGAAATTTGCAGTTTAAGTCAAAAATTGCACGTCCGACCTCTCCTGTTGACTCGGTCCACCGTGCGCCGCGCCACGTACCCCGAAATGAATTATGCCGAATTATTCATCCTAACTCTGTAGCAACAAATCCTCGCGCCCTCCTCTCGAGGGTCGTAAATTAGCCGGCTGCAAGTGGAAACCGATGACGAGTATTCCTTTCAGAAATTCAGCACTGAGGAACCTCATTTTTTAGCCGGCAGTTCGTGTGAATGACGTTGCGCCGTGTTCCCGGTCTCAAGGCGA